AGGAAATGCAAGAGGAGGGAGATCGCAGGGCCGGACTATTCTACATGACAGGTATGCCAGGTCCGGCGGCTCTCCTCCTCTCCTCATACTCTGCGGGAGGGATCCTCTGTGCATACTAATACGTTTATGTTGGTTAAAATTGTTCTTTATTTTAATTATTGTATTGTTTTTTTCCTGTTTTTTTTTTGTACTACAAATAAATAAAATATTTGCAGTGTGCATAGGAATTTGTTCATGTTTTTTTCAAACTATAGTCCGGCCCCCCAACATTCTGAGGGACCGTGAACTGGCCCCCTGTTTAAAAAGTTTGAGGATCCCGGTTTATGGATTTCATTTTTTGTTGATTTTGTATGGTTTTTATTTTTAATATTGTGGGGAGGGTGGGTATTTGATGTATGCCTCCTGAAGTCATGACTATACAAGTTGGGCAGCTATATACATTTACTCAATAAGTAAATTATCCAACAAGAGTCAATTAGATTGCAGCAGGGTAGAAATGGAATGAACAAAAATGTGGAATGGGTCTTGAAACATTTGAAAAGTTAGTACTATATTATTTTTTTAAGGGCTCAATTGATGTTTGGTTACAGTAGTTACTGTAAGCATAGGGGTGCCTGATCCTGAGCAAGACCATCACACACAGAGGGAGATAACTTAAACATCACCTCCCAGCCATTTGTCTCCATGGGCAGTTCAAAAAGGTGGGGAAAAATGCCACAACTTTCCTCATTCTTCTTGTTGAAATAGGCATAGCGCTTAAAGTGTTGGACTAGGACTGGGGAGAACCAAATGCAAGTCCCCCTTCAGCCATGGAAAGCTATTGGATAATTTAGGTAAGTCATTTTCTCTCAGGACAACCTACTCCATAGGGATATTTTTTGTTAAGAGATGGGAATGCTGTGTACAATGTGGGGACACAATGGGATTATGAATGCAAAGTTAGCTACACTCTAGAATTTGCAATAGTCAGACATATTTGCTGCAGCAGAACTAAATCGCATAAAGAGAACTGCTTGGTTTACATAGAAAGATTCTTTAGAGACAGGAAAACTATGTATCACCAGAATTAAGTGTAAAATGAGATTATAGATTGCTATGTCATGCAAAGCAAAACATCTAACTTAATAATGCAGCTTATTTGCCAGATGCTGCAGTGTGAACTTGGCTTCAGCTTCCCAAAACTGAGTTTTCTCATTAAGAAGCCGAAATTCATATTTAAATCACCCCCCAAAAAAAGGTTTACAACAGAGAGATAGTAAAGTACATTAACAGATCAAAGGAAAGAGAATTTAATTTTTCTATAATGTGTTACATATATAATAGTAATATAATACTTTTCTAATAGGTTTAAAAGCTCTGTAAAATATGGAACTGTTTTAGTATAAAAAAATCCTCCCTGTTATTTTAATATTTCTTCCATTTAATAATTTAATAATTTATAGCAAGATGTTTAGGAACTTCCAAAATTAACTAAATGTTCACATGTAATGCAGGCTGAAGACTTTGTTCACTGTCCTTAGTTCCAACTGGGTCATTCTCCCCCTTTCCATGAGTTCATTCATCATAAACTGAGGAACTCGCAAAGATGTTTATGTATATAAAAAAAAAAAAGTGAGGGAAATAGTTTATATTGAGTTTGCTACAAAATAGTTTTTATACTTACTCTCCCACAGGTAGTAGTACATGTCACAAATGAAAAAGTCTTCTCACCAGTAATTTATAGAATTGCAAACATGAATCAAGAGAGCTTTTTATGTATCAGAGATATCCCAAAAAAGTAAATGGAGAGGCCCAGAAATAACAAATGAAAAAGTTGTATGCATTCTCACTATTTTGGCTACCATCTATACAGTGGTACCTCGGGATACGAATGCCTCTACTAACAAACTTTTCGGGTTACGACCAGCTCCGGCGGCAAAAATTTACCTCGATGTGCGAACTCCGCCTTGGGGTACGGAGGCCATGGCGTGGCGCCCGGCCGTTCTCCCGCCCCTGACGCGTGGTCCGCGGACGCCAGAACGGATTAACGGTAATTACATTGAACCTTATGGGAAAATTTGCTTTGGGGTGCGACCAAATTCGGAAGGCGGAACGGATTAACCGGATTTACATTGAACCCTATGGGGAAATTTGCGTCAGGTTACGACCAACTCGGGATATGCCCAGAGTCACGGAACGGATTAAGTTCGTATCCCGAGGTACCACTGTACCTCAGAAATAAAGACCAAGTACCCAAGCAATAATTTGTTCTTCTTTCTAGGGTTTTGTAGCAAATCTGTTATTTGTGGGATAAGCAAACATATTTAAGTCATTTGGTAAGTTTGATAACATTTTAAAAGAACAACATTGTTATAGTCAAGATATCCCTAGGGGACACTTGTTTATATCAAAATTCATTCTGATACAACAATTCGCTCCTTCAGATAATCCAACATACTCACTTCTGCAAGTTTTGCGATCACGGTTCAGTATGTATCCAGTTTGGCATTTGCACATATATGATTCTTCAGTGCTAACACATTCATGTTGGCAGCCATGTTTTCCCAAACTACAGATATTTATTCCTATGGAAAGAGAAAACTAATAAACATGTCAAGTAAGAATGCTGAAAAATTGTTAAAATACTGATAATCAGCACATATAGCTATTAAAAACCTCACCTTTCATTATGTTCCCAGAAAGCAAAAGCAGAACGAAAGATTACCTGAGGCTCTTGAAGGCAGTTGTGTTTGTGCAAGGAGCATCAAGAGGACTAGAGTTTCCAAAACTTTGGGGTCTGATACCCAAATGTGTCTGTGTACTTCTAATCTGGCATTTAAACTGAGTTTTTTTTTACTGATGTTAGCAGGCCTGGCACTGTACAATAAACTTGAGTAGTTGTAGAGACTCACTGCTAGTGATAAGGCCTGTTGGGATGACGACACCCCTTCTTTGGGCTCTTAGTGGCCACAGCTGCAGATGTAATTTCAATTGTCCCAATGCCTTGGCTTAGGAAGTCCATTATTCTAATCTACATTGGATAAAACTGTATTGGATCTGGCACAAAAATAGGGTAGCGGTTACCTTGTTTTAATTTACTTATAAGACATTAGAACAGTGGAATTTCTAGGGTATTGTATTTTGGAAAAATTAAGACAGATGATCAAAATGTCTGGGTATAAAATATTAGGGGGATTACATGCTTCTGGTGTCCATGCAACACTGAAACCAACTTTTAACTTAGGACGCTTTTATATGGTAGAGCAAGGGCAGACTTTTTTTTTCTATTGAGAGCACTTTCTCAGGAGTAATCTGTCTCAAGAAGCATTTGAATGGTGAGCAGGTCTATAGCAAATAATAGGTGGGACTCAGTCTTTCTAAGCCCTTTTTATTTATTTATTTATATTTCAAATTTAAATAATGCCCATCTCATGAAGAAGTTTTCCTCACACTCTTGCTTTTATCTCTTTTGTTCTCTTTTCAGTACTTAATTCTCTCCCTCTAAAAAGCAGGTTGGCAGGAAATGAATAGTTAATTCTTCTCAGAAGTTTATGAGGTTTCAATTGCTTATGAAATTAGGCTGAGGGCCACATATAGTCCTAAGGCCCCAGTTCCCACTACCCTGTTAGAGTTTTCAATTTACTTAAACATAAGTCTGTGATTTCTGATGATCTGCTTAATTAACATGGTGTTGCATCAGTTTCCTATTTAAAAAAAATATAAAATCTGTTCTAATCATCCAAGCCTTGGCTAGTGCACTTTTTTTTTTTTTTTTAATGTTTAGGTTTGGCCTTGGATAGAACTCCAAGGGAAATGGAAATTGTTCCCTAGGAAGACTTTTTACGCACACATTGTACTTTAATTGGCACACAGTCATACAGCTTTTGACAAAATAAAAAGTATATAAACATGTACTTGAATGAATAAACAGTTATCTTTGTACACAGGAATGACTGAACTGAGGATTATAAGGAAATGTAGGAAGAATCAGTTTCATAGGCATATTCTAAAGTTATAATTGAAAAAAGAATAGTGTAATAGGAAATGAGTTGTAATAGTGATGTGGATAAATAAAAGCAGATGAACTTACTATACACTTTAGGACAACATACTTTTGCAAGTTCTCTTATCTGGATTAAGAGTAAATCCTTGCTTGCATTGGCAAAAATAGGATTCATCTGTATTGACACATTCCTGCTGACAGCCATGATTTTGCAAAGCACAATGGTCTGGTCCTGAAGATTGAGAAGAAATTCTTAAAGAACAGTAGTCGAAAATACAAATATACAGAATGGAATGAATATTAATGCTTCAGTTTTAGTGAGCACTTTTTCTCTCTGAAGATTTGTTTGAAAGCAGAGCATTTTCTTCATATAAATACTACACAATACAAAATGTACAGGCATTCCTAGAAACATAGGAAGGGTTTCTTTCCCTCCCTCTCTGCTCATCCTCCACTGGTGGCAGAAAGGTGCCTCACTAATCATTTTTAAGGAGTGTCTGACTCAAATGCTGACTCTTCAGCAGTTCATGATGTAATGATCACAACAGAAAAGTAGGGTGTAGATAGAGGGTTATGGATTTACTGCGTGTCTCCTCATTGTCCATCGCTCTGCCTGCTCTTGGTCTAAGAGACCTTGGGTCACTTCCTTCTGCCTTTTCTTCACGACATACACTCTTTGATTCTCCTCCTGATAGGATGTTGCTAGCTGGTGCTAAGTTTTATCTATCCCAATAATGTATTTTCTGCAATTAAATCTCCTTTCTGTTATATTTATAAAATTTTAATCTTTGCTCAGGTTAAATTCTCACTCTTAGGTACATGCACACACATATGCTTCAACGTCCAAACTAAAATGGCAGTTTTCCTCTTTTCCTGACACAGGTTTTGCTGTATGTACAATCTACAATATCTCAATGACAAGTCTGGAGATTAAATGGTCTTGGGTAGGGATCTCCCCAGGTCTTATTAGTTGTGTAGGTCTGCTATGAGCATGCCCTTGTCCATCTAGTTGCTGGCACTGACCTCTGCAGACACAAAAGAGTCTGCTCAATCCAGGATCTGGTTTTTCTCATTACCTAAACCAGACTCCTGGATTGAGCAGACTCTTTTGTTTTGACATTGGCCCTGGAAGATAGCCTTTTATGTATGTATGCGTGCATGCATGATTCTCCTGTCTTCTTGATGAGCATTGCCCTCCACGTCTATTTTGGACACCTGACACTTTTCTTGTGGCTAAATCAACTGAGAATTAGAAATCACAAAAGGTATTTTATAGGAACTGGCCCCTGAGATTCCTTCCATCAAAGATGTTATGAAATTAATTTCTGCATGCAAAGGGAATACTGAGTTAGGCCCTTGCGTTGTATGCAAGGTTACATATAACATTTGAAATATTAAAGAACAGAACTGAGATGTGGATAACTTACTTTTGCAAGTCTTTTTATCTGGATTTAGAATGAACCCCTTATGGCACTGACAATAGTAAGAGTCTTCAGTATTAATACACTCATGTTGACAACCTTGGTTATTCAAAGCACAGTAGTCCACAACTGAAGCACAAAGCAAGACCAAATTTAAGACAAGTGACTCTAATGCAGAACTTTAAAACTGAATGTATATAATATTGATAGTACCTAGTTCTTCACTTACTAACAGACCAGTTCCACATAAATTTTAGTAGCACAATAAAAAAGCATAGCTTATTTGTAGATGGCCCTTCTGTCCATATATTTATATTATTGTCATTATTAAGAGTTGAAATACTGTGTTCCACAACATGCTCAGGTAATCATCTTATTGCCCCACCAGTACATGCAACTCTTCAACCAAGACTACAGTCTTACTACATTCTACCAATCTATTATGGATTGTTATAAGCCAGATGCTGTAACTACAATAAAACTAAGAATATGTTTGAGGTCCATACAACAGAGTAAGACTATTACTTCCATTAAACAGATACATGCAACAAGAAAGATGAGGCCATAGGTAAGCTCACTACTGAAAGTCTGTTAACTGCATATATTGTGTGGTCTGAACTCTGACTTAAAGTAATCTTACTGAAATTAATAGAACTTCAGTTACTCTTCTTAACAATTCAGAATGTAACACTGTAGCCAAAATAAATAGTGAAAGTTAAGTATTAAAGTTCCCCACATCATTTCACAGAACAATGTACAGTAAATACTGAACAATATTTGGAAGCTGGCTCTGATGATAAGTGATTCAGTTACAATTACTCTATTAACTTATCATTCAGCATATCATGCCTAACATGGAGCTGTCAGCAAAAATGGCATTCTTGAGTCAAGTTTTTCTACAATGTGTAGAAACACATAGCATGTTTTATGATACTATCCCACCGTGTGTATGCAGCTCAGCTCTTCAGACCATAAACCAGTTTGCATGTCCAAACTTATATACCACTTCTGCCCTCAGTTAACTCAAGAACATTGCCCTAAAAATGTTATTTTGTTAATTAAGGAAGTGGCACATGCCTTGCATTTGAAAGAACATTAAGACCAAACTAACTAGCTGTTTGCTAGCCAGGAACCAGATGTATGAGCAGTCATGTTCCATGTTTAAGTCATGTTAACCTAGGTTATAACTATGAAAGTATTTCACCTTCAATGCTTCTCACCAATTCTTTCCCTCAAAAATATCTTAACTGTGTGCCATAAGTAAGACGTAGTGGAGTTAGTGGAACAGGGAAGGATTCCTAAAAATCTTTAAAATCTCAGTTTCAGATCTGGAAAATAGCTATTTCTGGAAACTGTAGCTATATCTGGAAAAAATATTTTGGCCCTCTGTGCTACCATGTCTATGGTGATTTAGCAGTTCACACTAATTTATTTACATTATTACAATAATCCTCTTTTTCTAAGAAGCTCAAAGGGGCATATGTAGTATTTTCCCTCCATTTTATTCTTATAACTATCTAGGGAAGTAAATTATCATTTAGGCTTAGTGTTAGGGAGTAAACTTTGCAGCAATCAGGGATATGAATCTGGATCTTTCTCAACTATGCTGGTTCTTACTGTTTTTTTCTGCAAGTAGAAACAATTAGTTATAGTCCCTGAATATAACCAAAATACAAGGATTTATTTACAAGGGAAGATAATAAAAAGAGCAAATATTTATGAAAGAATATGTGAAAGGTGTACATCATTACTCAGAAAAATTACATATGGTTATATATAACTCCTGGAGTTCTATTTCATAAAATTTCTACTTAATAAAATAAACTGTTAATCTTATCAAATTCCCCAATGTAAACCTAGCTAAAAAGAACTCCTATTTTTCTAAATTGTTTGGATTTCTCCATGGATTTTGGATAAATGAAGTTGAACAGTATTATTTATTTTTATGATGCTAATACCAGTTTTCACAGAACTATTCTAAACAATGGATAAACGGATTCACAAAGTAGCTTTCCTAGAAGATTATTTGAACTTTTCAAAAGATAATGTTTTCCTTTTTATCCATCAAAATAGTACATCCCGTTTTATACAAACCTTAGAGAATCAATCCTTCCTGCCATTGCGACTTAACTCCTAAATCTTGGTGCATTTCTTACTGTACTCCTAAATTACATTACTGTACTTTTAATTTAAATTAAATGTTTGCTTGAATTAATGCATTTTCCCCTTAATCCCACAACTATAACTCTGCCATAGTCTAGACAACCTTGGAAAAGCAGACTAAAATATGTTTAATCAGGCAAGCATACTGTAATATTCTTTTGCATAATGGGAGTTGGTACTCGCGGTGACTTAAAGCAATTGATTTGAATAGAGAACATTTAAGCTTTTCATCTAATTATCTGCGTAAAAGACATTCCTGTATCCAGGCAGAAAAAATGTGGATTATTTACTGGAAATTAAGATAATAAATCAGCTTTCCCTTAAATAACATACATTTGCAATTGTCCCATGAGATGTAATATTAACACAAATCTAATATAATCATCCCCACATTTTAGGAGATGATTCATTGATTAGTTTCAATAATAAACCCCACTCAATAGGAAAGCATATATCACAGAAATTATTTTGAAATAAAAACAAGTTGTCTCTTCTCTAATTTGTAAGGCATTTTTTAATAATTCATATTGTACAAATTTATTTAAGGGAAAATGTATCACTATGTCTTGAAACCATCAACAGCAGCAATATAGGGGTATAAACATAAAAACAAATGTATAAAGTACTAAAAAGAACGTTTTGACAAAGGGTGATCAATATTTAACCACCTTAATAATATTGGTTCTGCTTCTTTTTTTAAAGTCTAGAATTATAGAGTTGGCCATTGAGGCCATCAAGCCCAGCACACGGCCCAGTGAAGAGATCCAAACTAAAGCATCCCCAATAAATTACTCTCCAGATTCTGTATGGACACATCCAGAAAATGGGAGCCCTGAGTAAGCACTATTGAATCAGCCTTACTTTCAGATTTTTTTCCAAATATTCAACAGAGCTGCCATCCTATAATGTAAGACCATTATTGCAGGTTCTGCACTCTAGGATGATGGAGAATAGGGCTTGACCTTCTGTGTTAAGAACCTTTCAGGTACTTGGAAGATACTGTTGTGACCCCACAAATTATATTTTCTCACAAACTCTTCCCAACCCCTTAGATCTATTTCTGCAAAAGCCTGCAATGATCCTAGCTAAAGCTGCTGTGGGAATGACTAGAGCCAATGTGCATTCCCTTCTTCCAGCCAATGAAGAAGTTCAGAAATTGGTCTCTTAGTGGGGGAAAACAACAGCCAATCTGGCTGAAAAAAGTGCCATAAGGAAGCTACCATTTATCTTCATAGCTGAAGGGGAGATACCCATGGAGCTATTCCCACAGATTGGAAAGTGGCCCTTCCCCTAATCCCAGAGAGCTCAAGGAGATCTAATCGTAAAAAGGAAATTTTGTGATTTGTTTCTGAATAGCTGGGGTAACAGAAAATTGTTTCAACTGCCCATCTGGGATGCTAGCATGGGATTCAGAGGCATGGCTTCACTGTGGGAATGGCACAAAAGGCCTTGCATGGAAGAGCCCTATTTTTCTCTAGTTTACCAACCTCTTTGCCTTTCTTTGTTTCAGTTTGCTTGAATCATTAAAGCATGGTGCTTAAAATTGGACATAATACTTAAGGCAAGATCCCACCAACAATTACTTTCTGAGATTTGGAAACTCTACTTCTGTTAATGCAACTGTGAGGGGATCCTTTTCAGAAACAGTACAGGCCAGCAACAAACAGACTGTTTTTTTTATCATCCCTGTGTTTCCATGGAAGCTTTTATTATATAAAAATTAACAAACTTATTTTCTACCTTACCATTTATTACTAAGCCTATGCTATCTTATACTATACCTATACTAACATCTATGCCTACACCTATGTGTATTTCTTATTCCTAAACAGTCTATTTTTCTTTGTTGCTTGAACTTACACCAAAGTCTTTAGCCACCTTCAAGTTGGCTTCTGTTGTTGTCAGCTATTGTTCTAAACTGCTGCTGAAACACCTGGTAGTTTCTCAGCCTGTGCTGGCTGACTGTAGCTTCTCAGCATCGCTGCTGGAATGGTGAAGCTGCTGGGCTTTGCTTCTCCTTTTAGTTTGTCTGCTACTGGTTTGGTGAAGTACAAGCCTGCTCCTCCTGTACCACCAGTTGCCTGTTGAGCTGATAACCACTCCACTCCCTTGGCTATTAATCCTTCCTTTCTGCTCTATCACACCACTCCCACCTCCAAGCGCACACACACTTCAGTACTCTCAGGGTTTTCTTCTTATAATTGGAAACTAGGTGTGGTGCAATGCTCTTTAGGCTGCCTTAAAGTCCCAGGAGGGAAAACAAAGGGAAGGAAGAGCTCATGCTGGCCACTGTAAGGCTTTCCTTTCACGGCAGTCTGAAAGTATTTTTGCCTTTTTAACAGCCACATCACACTGTTGACTCATACTGAGCTTGTGAAGAATGACAAGCCCAGATGACAAGTGTTCATTTTATTTGTTTTCTAAATGAGAAACTTTGGGGTTGTTTCTACTGAATTGTATTCTGTTATTTTCAGAATGCCCTTTTCTCTAACAAGATAATTTTAAATCTGTTTTCAGTATATTAGCTACCTTGCTTGCATTCTGTCATACAAAAATCTGATAAGCATTCTTTCCACATCTTTATCCAAGTAATGAAAATGTTAAAGAATATTAGACCCAGGACTAAACTCAGTGACAGCTTTTTCAATACTTTTTTCCAGTTTAATTAGGAATTGTCATTGAAGTCACCAAGAGTCAAGCTCAAGTTGTGGGGGTGGTAGTGGTGTTGGTGTTATCCTTACTGTATCTTCCAGGGATAACACAGAGATGTTTAGCAGCATTGAATATTCTAGAGATCTGAATTAGCTACGTCTGATCTAGAGTGTTTTATATAGTATATGAAAGCACTATAGAAAAGAAGCATTGTACATAAATGAAAAAAAACTAAACTCTTTCCCTCTCAACTTATCCAGCTTTATGGCTTTCACACAATTATTTGTAAAATATAAACTGTATTCAGTGCCACTATCTGAACTCATTTTTGAAACCATCTGTGTGGTATTAAAACAGTTTTCTATACAGCAATTATTACTGACTCTAGACAAGAATAGTTATTCAAAAATTATCAGAAAAATAGGGTTTTCCCTTAAAAGGAAGAATAGATAATTATAACACAGACAGAAATCCTATGCAGTGTCTTGCTTCATACCTGATCAAATTAAGGTTGCCAACTCCTGCTGAAATAATTCCTGGAGGTTTTTCCCTCCCTAATAAATGTGTGCATATATCATATTGTATGTGCATATATGCACGTGTGTATTATAGCTGCCAAAAATCACACTCCTAAGGTGAGCAGGGGTGGGGCAAAAATATATTCACTGAATAAGTACAGAAACACACAAGTATACATGAACATATCCATTTCCCTCTCTCCTTCTAGGAGCTCTCTTTCCAGAAGCAGTAGAAAAGAAAAAACAATATCGAAATGAGAAAAAAGGAAGACACAGATACACTGGGAAGGACAGGGAAGACAAAACTGGGCATAGAGGATGAGAGGGAAGAGGTAGGGTTTACATATCTCTAATTCCTATTTCAGTTTCCTATTTTGATTCCCACTGACATCTCTTCCAATTCTGCCATTCGTATAAAATATTCACTGTAAAAATTAAACAGACATGGGGAAAACATGCATCCTTGTCTCATTCTTTTTCTTATGCTGAACCATGCATTCCATTCTAAGCTACTCTGAAACTGAGGAAACATCCAAATAAACCTCTTATATAATACAGAGAACCTACAGTTGCAAAGCAAGAAGTCAACAATCTCACCAGAAACCTGTGAATGCAACAAACAATTAAAATGATACAGCATTATACTGGGGCAATAACAGAAATCAGCAGGTACTTTAATTGAAAACAAATTGAAAACAAATACATACTGAAACAATTCTTCCCATCTTCTTCAAGTTCATAGCCATCGTAACATTGGCAGACATAGGATCCAGGTGTATTCACACATATGTGCTCACATTCATGCTTTTCAATCTCACATAGATCCTGGACTGGAAAAAATTTAAAAATGGTAAAATGTTATTGCATTTCTGCAAGAAATTGGTGGTTGTTTGCATTCGGTTTTGGCATTCAGATGGACATCAGAGTTTAGGAAAGTATAATTAAATAAAAGAATGAGAAATATATGGAAATAAATTTTTCAGCTTCTGGATTAAATTAGAACTGGCAACATTATTTTATTCAAGAAATGAACCACTGGACATAAAACGTGTTTTTGTATGTTTTGTTATATAAAATCCTTTTATTGTCTGTTAGCATACCCTATTTCAAGAATTTCTCTCCATGTGCAGCAAATGTTATAATCAGATAACCAGTTGGTTTAAAGCCAAACTCTTTGCATAAGTTTTTGCTCCATAGCAAGAAGTTGGAGATGTCATTATTTATATCTAGAATTATATTGTATAGTTTATTATGAACACTGATCCCAAAATCCATTCACATGACAGTGCTCTGGATTTCATTTTCAAGTGCTCACTGACAAAGCAGTGTCCCTGTAGCATAATGTTTTTGTCTTCCTCCTATGTAGGAATTCCTGATTAGTTAAGTTAATGTAGGGCTGGTTCTTCAAATGTAGAAAGCCTGAAAACAATTTCATTGCAAGATTGCATACCACCATTGCACTTTAGTCAACAGAGGCACAGTACTATAAACAAATACAAACATGCACGTGCGCACACACACGCACACAATGTAGTAAAGACTAAGCAGAGGCATTGGAGAAAATCATGTGTAACAAAACAAGCTTGCCTAAACATGAAGGTTGCCATTGCCTTGAAGTGAAATACCACAAGGGAGGAAGCTGGGAGGAAAAGAGTTCCAAAATGTAGATGTTGCCACAAAGTGGGATTGGGATTATTTTTTAAATGGAATGGCAAAACCAAGATTATTTAAAATCCTGAATACTCATGATAAAGCAAAGCAAAAATGTAAAATGCTCATCTTAAAGCAAAGATGAATAAAAATTAAATAAAATTCTTAGATTTTACAGATCAACTACAGTATATTTGTCAGTCAGCTGTAAAATTCTAATTAACTGCAAAGCCATCTTTAGTAATTAATCTTCAGTCTAGGAAAGCTTTGGCACACTACTGATGGAAGAAACTGCAACACTGTACTGTCAATATTTAGCATATTTTTCTTTATATAATTTCATTTATTTACTACTTTATCTTATACAAGTCTACTACACAGGAAGACCTGAGTTTGTTTGGATTTCATCCTAGGCAACTGGATTGCAGTCTCAGATTTCAGTATGAGTATAGTTTAAATTGGATCCAAGAACTGTGAGAGGAAAGAAAACAGCTGTACTGTAGTGCTGTTTTAGAAATGCATGTATAGTTTACATAGTGATATAATCACCTTTTTGTGAGTACTCATTCTTTTGAGCATGAAAAACACACTTGAATATGAAGATCATACTTTAATTACTCTTTTCTTGCATGCAGTTTTAGCAATCACTGTAAGATAGCCCCTTTGTTTCATGCTAGTCTGGTGATGGGGTTTCATGTGATTACGAGGTAACAGGATGAACCCTATTCCAATATCATGTAGATATTAAGTCCCATTATCCATATGCTGAATATGAATACCTATAACAGAGAGGTCTGTGCACATAGGTTTCACTGAAATGGGACCCTGAGTGTTCTAGGTTCCAACTCTCATGGAAGCTTATGTACCTATTTCAAGGGGAGCTGAAGTATTGAAAATTGCAATCCTCAAACCATTTACACAAGAATCCTGCAATAGACTTCACGTACAAGTCAATAACGTGGACATTAATGCAATTTGCATGCATGCATGCATGCGTGTGTGTATGTGTATATCTATCTATCTATCTATCTATCTATCTATCTATCTATCTATCTATCTATCTATCTGTTAGCTACATAGATATAATGTTTAATAATCATTACCAGATACTTTTGTCACTGACTTCAGTGTTATGTGGATTTAACATAATGCTTTAAATATATTATTATTGGATGATATGAGGACTGAAAGCTTAGCATAGAAAAGAACTAAAAACCAGCGCCAGCATTTAGTTAAATACATCTGGTTTATGTTGACAATTCATTATCTGAAAATATAAACAAAACTAATCCAACTCTAGAAACTGGAAGCTATGAGAAAAAAATCTTGCTCTTATATGCTTTTGAGCATTTAAAAGGAAAAGCAAATCCAAAAACCCACTATTTTTGAACTGCATGTTTTGGACTATGCAGGTTATCTTGTATTTTGTGTTAGCTACTCTGGAAGGATGGTATATTATATTTTAATGAATAACAAACATAAACAAGGCAACACAATCACTGGATCTGCATAAATGTAAACCTAATAAGCTGTTTCATCATCAGAGTTTTTGGTTGTTTATATGCTGCCCAAGCTATGATTTGTTTTAACTATGGTTTATGACTAGGCTCCTTGTATAATGTGTTGTCAACCATGATTAAAAAATCCTAATGACTGGATCTGTCCAACATGCTAAGTAAAAACAAATAGTATGTTGACCTACAGTCTGGGTTCATACAACATTGTAAGTTAAACTGTAATGTGCTTTACCACGTGCAACGCAAGTTACACAATACTGTAGATACAGTCTACTTTTTAGATAGGCACTGCTAACTACCATATTGTCTAGAAAGAGCCAATCAGACAATATATTCAGTGTTGTTTTGTTTCTTATTACTAGCAGCAATGATAGATATTATATGAAACATTATTTCAAAATACGTTTGGAATTTAGAGTCTAAAATCAAAGTTTTTCTTTAAATTCTGATTACTTTGAGGAAAATAACAAACGCTGAAAGAAGCAAGAAAATTGGGGAAAAAGAGGAAAGGAACTATGAAAAAACTTAATTCAAGACTTTCATAGCATAAGACTTGCACAATGCTCTAGAATTCACACTGGACAAAAAACACTGATTTTAGAGTCGACTCTCTAATGCATACTGCAGCAACCTGCAAGGCAGCTAGCTAGCCTTACTGTCAAGCAGTCAGTGATGTGGAGCAAGGAAAAAGGCATGAGATATGTTTTATTAGAAATTACGGAAAGGAAAGCTTGATGGTTATTTCAATTGTATGCCTGTATTTTCTGCAATGTGTAATTCTGTCCTGTGAAAATGTGTTAATTTGACTTTCAGCTGTTAGTGCACACAACAAATCTATACATCTATTACAATTTCTAAGGCAAGTTATGAGAAACAAGATCCTCACCCACAAAAATACCTCTGTATCAGTAGGCAACCTGTGACTCTTCCACTGTTGCTGAATGTGATTCCCAGCAGCCCCAACCAACACAGACAATGGTGAAGAATATAGCTGTTCAGCAATATTTGGAAGGCCACTGATTGCCCAGCTTTGCATATTCATCTGTGTTAAATACTTTATCACAGTAGACATAATGTTTTCATATTGATCAATATTACTCCATAAATAATTAACATCACAAAACTGACAAGGAGAGAAATGAGGCTTTCTATTCTCACCCATTAATTTTGCTCAAAATCACAGATGGAATTGTAAGCATAGTCACTGGAAAGAGGGGGGAAATGTGCATGAATATTGGGTTTATGAACTGGTTTACAGTGTGTGTGTATAATATGTGACTAGATATATTTGCACACCTCTAATCTGCAGTTGATGCAGCCCTTGGACCAAAAAGTTGTACATCCCCACCATAAAGTGTATTTATAAAATGGTGAGCTATGAAAGAGATAAGATATGAAACTCACTGCTACAGCTTCTCCGATCTGAGTTCAGAATATATCCCTGTTTACATTTACATACATAAGAGCCAGGAGTGTTGATGCAGAAATGGTCACAACCATGCTCGGTTATACTACACATATGCTGGACTGGGGAAAAAAAAGCAATACATAAGTTAGCACAAGAATGTGACTAAAAACCCAGTTAATGATATTAAAACTGATATATAAAAACACAAGAATACCCCTCCCCCCCCAAGTATCAACAGAAAATATGTATATTAAAGTGATGGAACATTCATCAATACTGATTTTACACTTTGTTAATGGATGATGTAAGATTTATAAATCTATAAACTTTAGGCATATAAATACCAATCACATGAGTGGCAATGATAACTAAGAACTGAGCTACATTTTTAGGAAGACTGAAGGATTTATTTATTATAAATGTATTTCCAGATTCCATTCACCAAATATATTTTTAAAAAATTAAGCATCCATTTATAGTTTTCATTCCATTCATGTTGACATTTTTTTCTTGCACTATTTTCTTTACAATCCTTTTTCTATTTTTTTTCACCAAATGACCTGATCTTTTTCTGATGCTTTTTGCAATCTTATCCTAAGCAAGTGGGCAGTTTCTACACTGTCATGTACTCACCCCCATCTGTGTTTTAAAAGGCCTTAATCCTGTTATATTTGCAGTCACAAATTTGGGGGTGGGCGTGTAGAAAGCTTGCTGAGGCTGCATTAGGATGCTAGACCTGGATTAATGTACTGTTTATGTCACCTTGGTAAATACCATCAGTAAGGGCAATGGCTTTGTTTCCACCTTTTCTCAAGCAGTACCATTTTCTTAAATTTAACATACTTTGCTTTTTTAGTTCAAATAATAACTCTTTTTTTCAACAGTTGCTATGTTGTACTGTGCTTAGTTAAAAGCCCAGGAAAGAGGAAACAACTACTACTACTTTTCCTTCCATCCTGTTATTTTCAAACACAAAATCATACTGTGTTAAAGTTCAATAGAGCTTTTTAACATATGCACATGAACATGATATGTTGACTGAATTGAGTGAATAAATGTTTAACCAAATAAGTGAAAAGCTTAGTGGCTGCACTTGCATGACATGTTATGTTTGATTAGGTTCAACTTTAGTTGATTTTTAAGACATAGTGTGTTGTACAAACTCTGCTAGTTTAGTATATTTAGGATTCAATGTATTGTGTGAATCTAGAAAATGACTTAATGAAGTAATCAAGTTAAGACTATTGTGTCAACACAACTGTGACTAGTTCTGCATTGCTGATGAAGATAACAAGACCGTTAGGATAAATTCTGCCATCTATAAAATTTTTGGCATTGTGACTGCATGACATTTCCTATTCTGAAATTCTACTTTCAGGAGATTTCTGGCAGTTTCACATGGAATCATCAAAATCTAGACCAGACTTCTCCCAGGGTGAGTATTGTTTATGCTGGGTGAAAATAATAGGAGTAGTAGTCAAAACATCTGTAGAGATCAAGATTGAGAAAGCTAGTATTATAACTTCAATTAGTGATAATAATTCCATTATTTTTATATACAATTATTCTTATACAAATCAGCTTTCCTTAGTGTGCCCCTTGCAGATATCTTGTGTCTTCAACTATCAGAATTCCCAGCCAGCATGGTTAATGGAATTCTGGGAATTATAGTCCCAACACATCTGGAGGGCACCAGTTGGGACAGGTTATTCTCCCATCAAGCAAGAATATCACCTATTTTGAAGTTGCTGCATTGGTTACCAAAATACTTTTGGGCCCAATTCAAAGTGCTAGTTATTATAATACTCAGCCTGGGAGAAGGCTGGTCTAGATTTTGATGGTTCCATGTGAAACTGCCAGAAATCTCCTGAAAGTGGAATTTCAGAATAGGAAACACCATGCAGTCACAACGCCTAAAATTGTATAGATGGCAGAATTTATCCTAACAGTCTTGTTATCTTCATCACAAGTAAACTGCCTCCAAAATAAAAGTATTTTATGGCATGGCACTAGGAATGTACCAGGCAACACATTGCCAAAACTGAATCTGCCTATCTGGGCATTTAGATGTCTACTTCAGATCTTCTCTCCTTGAAGTTCATGGATTGTGGGCCAGCTGATAGGCCTTCACAGTGGTGGCCCCTATTTTATGGATCATCCTCCCCACCAGAGGTACAGATGGCCTACTCTACAAGTATTTAAAAAACAGGCCAAAGAAGCACTATTCCAGTGGAGGTTTGGAAGTTAGATTAGGTGCTTTGACTCTTAGATTATATACACATGGATACAGAGCATTTTTTTAAAGCAGTATTTCTAATGAAGCCTTTTAAATATATATTTAGTACCTTACCACAAATTTTAGTTTGGAACACAGAAGTCAGTGATTCAATTTGGCTGAAGTTTGCAACCAGAAAAACATGGTCTTCATAAGGTTCACTCCCAATTGACTTTAGCGTGTTCATATCTACTCTTCCCACTCCAATAGCAAATATTAGGATTCCTGAATTTCGGGCTTTTGCTGCAATTTCTGCAACTGGATCCTGTGGTCTCCCATCTGTCACTATCATGATAACTCTAGGTACATTCTGACTGAGTGGCCGAGCCCCTTCAGATTCTGAAAATGCAATGTTCATTGCATACTGAATAGCTAATCCTGTCATGGTTCCAGTGGCAAGATACATCATTCTTTTCACTGCTCTCTCTATATCCTGTTTCTTCTTAAAAGTCTTCAGTGAAAATTCATTTTTGACTGTGCTGGCATACTGGATTAGTCCCACTCTAGTGTTATCAGGACTAATGTCCAAAAAGTGCAGGATGGTTAAGATGAATTCTTTCACTTTTTCAAAGTCATAAGGGCGAACGCTACGAGAGCTATCAATGATGAACACAAGGTCAAGACGTTTATTACTGCAAACATTTTCTGGAATGAAAACAAAACAAGATAAAATTTATATAATCAGCTTTATAAAGTAAACCACCTCCAAAATAAAAGTGTCTAAAAAGTGTAGGAAGTTTTATTTCCAGGTAGAAAATACTAAAATATAACTTTTAATCCACACAGGATTTCTCCACCAGAATTTTAATATGGGCTATACAACTGGAGTTGAACATTGTATGCTAGTATGTAAAAAAATAGATAGCATCTAACCAGTGGTAAGTATCTAATGTTATAGCCTCCTATATATAGGTGTTTATTTTTTTAAGTTATTGTTGAAGCAACATAAGCACCATCATTTGTTTATTCTGCTGTATTTTTCAGAAATACTAGCACACATTTCACCAATTCATTGAAAAAAAAGCCTATAAAGAATTCTCCCAGCCAAGTCACCATAAGGAGCCAGTTACCTTCTATTTCTTATATAGTTTCCATGGCCTACAGAAAGCTTTCTCTTGAACAATGCATTGTCAAAGAAAGGTAAAGTATTTCCTTCCTTAAACTGAAATAACACTTTATAAGCTCTCTCTCTATCATTTGCTCTGACTGCACATCTGGCTGTATCCAAGCTTCTCCTAGCCTGTGTTTGCCTAAGAAAATACACTCAAGTTTGATTCACATAAAATGCTAGGGCAAAAGGTTGTTGGCTATGGTTCAGTTTATGGTTAGTTTATGATGCAACGTGTTACGCAAACCAGGCAACTGAATTAATTCAGTACCTCATGGGTTAGTATGGTACATAAAATATAACCTTTAGTTTTCCTATTTTATTTGCCATGCTACATCTGAGATACCTTTAGCTATGCTCTGTAAGAATACAGTGGTCTATAACATAAACATAATCAGCTTCTTTGGTGGTCCTAATCAAATGACTTTAGCACTGAAAAGAGGAACAACTGAGTCATACTTCCTTGAATATTAGTTAGCTTGATGCATTGTGCTAAGCTGCAGCTTATTCTTACTATGTTTTATTGAATAATCCACAATATCCATATTAACATATAACGTAAAGCTATAAACCATGGTTTACAAACTATAGCGATGGATCTCACAACACACAAAGCTAAAACCAACCAAATCACATGACTACGGCTTGCATAATATGCTTAACTTTTGTCGTTCAGTCATTCAGTTTCTTCATTTCGCCAGACTGTCTTTCAATAACGGCATCTTTGAATTCTTGTGAGTTCATGCTTGAGTCATTAATGATAGTATGCAGCCTGTTGTCATCTGTCAACCTCCTTTTCAATTGCCTTCGATACTTCCAAGCATTAAAGTCTCCTTTAATGACTCTTGTTTTAACATTATGTAACTAACATACTTAAACTTTAGCTTCATTATTAGTGCTTCCAGTGAGCAGTCTGAGTTTACTTAATCTAGCATTGAATCATTCTTTGATCCAAAATATTATCAACAATTTTCTCTAGCATTACAATTCAAAGGGATCAATTTCTGTTTGTTCACCCTTTCTGATGATTGTTGCATAACCATGTTACAACTGAAAAACCATGGCCTTGATAATACATATCTTTGTTTCTACATTTTAATATTTGATCTAGATCTGTCATAGTTTTTCTTTCAATAATTTTATTTTCTTTCTTTATTATAGTCACCATCACTGTGAATTACTGAGCCTAGCAAGATAAAGTCTTTTACTATTTTAGCTTCTTCTCTTCCTGTATCTGTTGGGTTGATATTGCTGTTGACATAATCTTAATTGTTTTTAAATTTGGAGTACCAAATCAGCTTTTCACTCTCTTTTTTCAATTTCAACAGGAGATTCATTAAATCTTACTTGCTTTCAGCTATAAAAGTATCATTATCAGCAAATATAGGGTTGAAGTTTTTCCCTATCAAGTTATTAAAATTTATATTTCCCCTAGTCCAGCATTTCTCATGATATTTTCTCTATGTAAGTTAACAAATGAAGAGATAGTATACAATCTTGATGCACTCCTTTCTTAATTCTGAACCATTTAATTGCTCCATGTTTTATTCTAGCTGTTGCTTCTTGGTTATCATATAAGTTTTTCAGTCGGCATCTGAGGTAGCCTAGTATATGCTTGTTGTTAGGGATTATCCTCAATTTGTTGTATTCTGCATTGACAAAAGTAGTACTGCACTGTATAATCAATACAATTGTATTACAGTGTATTATATAGATGTCTTTTTGGATTCCCTTGTCTTTTTTTTTATTATCCATTAGATCCTAGCAATTGGGATCTTCAGTACTCCTGCTTTTTCTGAATTCAGATTGTAAATTGAACAATTTTGGTTGTATGTATTGCTGAAGTCTGGATTGTAAAATCTTGGCCATTATTTTACTAGCATGTGAGATAATGTTTTGATAGTCTGAACATTCCTTAATACTCCTTTTTTTGAGTATTAAAAATAAATTGGTCTTTGGCCACTGCTTATATCTGCTAACAAACTGCTTACAAGTAGTACTTCAACTGTACCATCTTGTAAGATTTGGAACACTTCTATGGAGTTTCATTAACTCCTACACCTTCACTGTTAGCAGTATTTTCTAGGGCCCATTTAACATTATTTTCCAGAATGTCTGGCTCTAGTTCAGTGAGCAAATCTTACTGATTGGGGATATTTTGGGGAAAGTTCTTCCAGATATTTATGCAATCATAGCTTCTTTCTCCAGTAGAACACTGCCTTCTTTGTCTTCTTTGTGACTATCTATGTATAAAAGATTTCCTTGATTGCTTTTTAGATACAATTCCTTGCCTCTTCTTGCTTTCCTCTGGAACTCATTATTTAATTGGGCACATTTTCTTCTGTGTCTGTTGCATTCTGCTTTTCTTCAGCTATTTTCAATTTATCAGTAGAGCACCATTTCATCTTCTTTTTGTACATTTGGATATTTTTGTTCACTTCATCTTGTTGTCATGAATTTCAGTTCAGAGTTTTCCAGGTACTATATTTATCAAATCTAATCAATTAAATCTATTATTTACCTTATTGTATAATCATATGAACTATACTGTTAGTTGTGGTCATTTTGCTTGTTTTCTTTAGTTTTAGTTATAATTTTATAAGAAGGAACTGCAACAGCTTTACTATTTGCTGACTGAATAGTTTCTCCACCTTTGTTTAGTCATTTTTGGTTTGGTTTGGTGTTGCCCATCTAATGACGTCCATGCAAAGTCACTCTTTGGTTGGTTGGTCTTATATTGGCTATAAACACTGAATTTTCTTGGCAGAACTGCATTAATTTGACTCCTGCTTCATTTCATATATAAGGCCAACGTTTCCAAATATTCCACATGTTATTTTATTTCCAACTTTTGCATTCCAGTCTCCTATAATTAGTATGACATCTTTTTGGGTGTTGTGTTGCAAGTTGCCACAGAACAATTCAGCTTCTGCTTTCTCTGCATTTGTGATTGGAGCATACATCATAAGATTTGCCTTGCACTCAAATTGAGATCATTTATCATTTTGGAGCTTATACCTCAGCATCGACAACCTTTTGTTAATAATGATAGCCACTCCATTTCTTCTATGATTTTCTTGTCTGCAATAGATCTGATCTGACATGAAGTGACCTCTTTCAGTTCAGTTCAGTTCACTGATACCCAGAATGTCAATACTCATTCTTGATATTTCTGCTCTGACAGCATTACATTTGCTTTGCTTTGATTCATTATACAAATGATATGAACTATCACAAATGACATAACATTAATGTAAAATTAATATATCTGCTTTATCCAGACTATGTTAGATGCAACAGATCTATGATTTCAGAGGGATGTCTGATGGAAATTTGATCCATTGCATTAAATAATCTGAAATCTTAATCTCATTTATTAAATGGGGGTACATTAAATCTAGATTTCAAAAGGAAAAATTGGGTGAGGCAGGAAAAAAATAGTTTTCATTTTGTGATTTGGAGGCAAAGCCTCTACTGGGAATCAAGCGTTTGTTATACATCAGCAATGGAAAGAGAAACTATGTATTATGTCATCTAGTTAAGCTTCCAACAGAGATCTGTTGTTCTAGTTTACTCCAAGATACTATTGCATATTTCAAACATAATGCAAACAGACAATCTCATTGAGGGTAGTATTTTCCAATATGCATGCTTCATTAGAAGCCCAAATGTAGAAAATACATACAGATGGGTGAAACATTAGCCCAGCATGACATTTCAAATTATAAAAGCTACTTCCGGAAAGAAATTTTGGTTGAAAAGGCAGTGGAGGGAATGAAGAGAATTAACTATTTTTCTGCCTACTGTTTTCCTGCTCTAAATTTTATTGTAAAACTAAGAGAAGAAAGGTTGTTTTGAAATATAGAAAAGAAAAATAATAGAAAGGAAAACTGTTAAGCACACACTTCCCTTACCATTTTTGTAATCTCAATGCCTTCTTCAGAAGTGGGTTTTCTTTTAGATAAATGTTATAGGAATTTATATGTAATATATGCTTGTGCCCTAATTTATTTCATCTAAATCCTAATTCTAATTTTATTACTTGCTATATCTTACTGATTTATTTCAAAACAAGTGACCAGTCCAACAAAAAATCTAATTTCCCCTTCATTTGCTATTCCTTCTTCCACTAAAATCAGTTATTCTACAAAAGAACCCCCAAAGTCCCTATATAGGTAATCCTCAAGTTACAACTGTTCATTCAGTGACTGTTTGAAGTTATGGCAGTGCTGAACAAAGGGACTTATGACTGGTTCTCCTCAAAGTTCTGGCTGTTGCAGTGCCCCTGCAGTCACGCGAACAAAATTCAGGTGCTTGGCAACTAGCTCGCATTTATGACCAGTTGCAGCATCCTGCAGTCATGTGATCACCATTCCCTACCAGCTTCCCCCAAGCAAAGTCAATGGGAAGCCGGCAAGGAAGGTTGCAAGTTGCTGGGGTAAGTCTCCCCCACCCCCAGCCTTTCTTCGCTTGCATGCACCACACCCTCCTTCCTCCCCTTGCTCGTGCACACCCTGTGCCCTCTTTCCCCAGCCTCCCTGCGCTTGCACACACTTATGCACCCCACCTTCTTTCCACAGCCTCCCTGCGATCACACACATGCACCCTGCACCCTCTTTCCATGACCTCTCTGCAACTGCACACACCCTGCACCATTTTTCCTCAGGCATCCTGCACCCACACACATGCATGCACAAACCTCACATTCTCTTTCCCTGGCCTCCCTGTGACGTACCCTGTGCCCTCAGTCCCCAGTGGCCTTTCTGTGCTGCATGGAGCACCCTTTCCCCCAACTTGCACACAGCCTGCGCCGGGTTTCCCAGGGCCTTCCCCACCCTCCTGTGGCACCCCCACGTTCCTTATCTGGGACTCCCTCCACTTCCCACCTGATAACCAGGAGTGCCTGGATTGCCTTTGCTAAGCAATGCAGTCACGTGACATCGCACTTTACAACTGCATAGCTTAGCAATGGCAATCCCAGTCCCAACTGCAGTTGTAACTCGAGGACTACCTGTACTTCTCATCTGCAAACATTAGAAAGATTCAGCTGTACACATTTCTTTGTTTTACAGACTCACGGCAACTTACCAAGAAAAGGAGCATCATTTCTTTGACTCAAAGGTGTTCTTGGAAGATGACGCTCTCTGGCTGAAACAGGAAAAAGTCCAACCAGCAAAAGGAAATATAAAATAGTTCTTTTCATTTTCAAGAATAGGAAAGAATGGAGCAATCAGGGTAGACCTCTGTAACAAGAGAAAGAAATTATGGACTTTCTCACCAAACCACGTGATGCCAGAAAAACAAAATAAACCTTTCTTCCCATATTGTTTTTTAAACATATATCCCGACCTAATAACATTAACAGAAACTTTAGAATGCATTAGAAAAATACTTTTTACAGATATTTGGGTACCTTGATCCTTTCATATCCCATTCTTTTAAAGATTCTCACAACAACCATGGATTGGCTCAAAAGCAGTAACTGGAATATAGTATCAAAGACTATCAGATCAGATGATGTACCTAGTTATCCAAGCCTTTGCTTAACATTCTGCAGTACACTGGTATTCATATGTCATACTGCAGCTGAGCTATCCCAAAGTTTTTTTTAAATTACTGAATTTTATAAAAACACTAGACAACCTGTGACCTGTTGGATCATCATGTCAGAGATTCCTTACCACATTCCTCACTGCTTTCAGCAATGGCAGAGCTTCTAATGCACTGCCTTCACTGGAAAAGTTCTTAAAAATCCAGAGATGTATCTGCCTTGAAAACAGCCCATGTCATTCATATTGAACTGCATAGCATAGTCAAACATAAGGAATGGACTGCAGGAAATGTTTTATGACATTTTATATTATGTCATAAAATGTTTTATAATAATTTTTATGTTATAAAATGTTTTATAATATTTGCCAAATTTCAATTCCACAGGAGTCATGGGTCCTCGATTTTGGATGCATTCTGGAAGTTAGCCCATTTGAGGAACCTTGGCTCAAAAATTGTTGCCCTACAATGCACTGTTTCATCCAATTGATGGTTACCAAGTATCAAACAGGCATAAGAGTTTTAGTAGTATATAGATTATAGTTGATAACATCTGATAGTAAACGTATGCATAAACCATCACACTATTAAAGGAAATACTATATGCATACAAGGAAAAACAGAAACAAAACTGAAAAATGGGGAAAAAATTAAACAGAAAGAAGAATGACAAAAAAAAATGTATTGGTCAGAAAGGTTGAGAATGAAGTCTAACTTATCTGGAAGAAATCAGGTTGAAAAATGGTTCACTGACTGCTGCATTTATTTTCTTACATTTGTTTTACATTTATTTACATTTATTTTAAAGTTAAGTATTATCTTTCCCCCTGCTACTTTTCTATTTTAAGATCTATTTTTACGTTTGGTCCTTTTAAAAAAAGTAGCATTCAATATGTCTTTTGGCTTACATCTGTCCTATCATAATCATTGAGAAGAAAAGTAAAAGTAAAGTTCTCTCAAGCTAAATTTGACTCCTAATGAATGCATGGTCATGTCCATGAAATTTTCTTGGTTACAGTACAGAACTGTCACGTTTCTCATCTTCTGAGATTTTGTCTTCAAATTCTAGCCAACAGCGCTGGAATTCCCGGATGACCCTCCATCTAAATACTAACCAGGAAAGACCGAGATAGCTTCTGAGATCACCCACAATCAGCTAGGTGGGGTAATACTTAAAGCTATACAATGCAATAAAAATACATTTTGAATGACTAAAATTCAATAAGCTTTCAAAAACCTTATACATGATAAACACTAGGAAAAGTATGTGTAAGCATTTATTATTGCTCTGCACAATTTCACTGTGCTACTGGGAAAGCTGAAGAACTCTCTACATGGTTATTTATTTACGCAGTATTTCTGTACCCCATCTTTTCCCATTATGAACTTAAGGAAGGGTACATGGCAGTCTCCCGTCTAGACAGAGTAGACTCTGATTTAATTTAGTTTCAGGAAAGTTGCTATATTATATGCTTTAGTATCCAAGTATAAAAATAAGGGAAAAGACAAGAGCTAGGAAAAGTTGTGTTACTGTCTTCTTGTGATGTCATGCTGCTAAGTGCTAGCTAATTCACAATTCTTTGCTAGTAACATTTAGATAATCTAAAGGCTTCCTTCATGAACTATAACAAAACGAATAAAAAAGAGAACCAAGTAGCAAGTATATTTCTATAAGGAAAGATATTTGGATTCCCTAGAGATCTGCTGATTGATATATTTTTTCCTACTAAAATATAATAGTCAAGAAACCCTTTCATTCATCACAAGCAGAATCTGAAGTATAGATGCCAAAAGTCAATGCACACTGAGAATACAAAAAGTCAGATTCCTCTTACTATAAATATCCACTGGGATATCTGCTGCTAATACTTCCAGAACACAAAATAAATTTCTTCCAGAAAATACTTCCAGAACACAAACTCATTTTCACAAAATGCAAAAGTACATAGTACAAAGCAGTTGACTTCCTAGCTTGGTCAGCTTTACTTAATTTGTATTGTACTGTATGTGGAAAAGCCAGATTTACCAAATGTCTGTAATGACTTTCGTCTCCTGCCCAGTAAGATATATTCCATTGTTCGATAGATAAAAGATACTTTATTCAAACCAATTCTTTAAGCTGAATTCCTGACAGAAATCAATGTTTTCACAATACAGTGTATATTAAATTGGGTTGCTGACAGTTACCGAATACCATCCACTTGGTATAAGCTCGACTGAAATTCCTGAACCTTAATTTATTAGTGGACATGCACAGAATCTAGTACTACAGAATTGGGAAAATGACTATATATTCCATGTGGTGGAATATCTATTTCCAAACCTTTTAAGTTCATGAGAAGAGACTGCTGTGTAACACTCACCAAAAGCTACCATTACTGACATTCAAAAACATTTTAAAGCACGTGTGGAAACATGGTCAGGCAAAATGTGCTAGATATAAGCATGAATACGTCTGTTGTGTTCATGGACAAAGTTCTGGAAAACTGCATGACTTATTACTTTGCATGCAATGTTTTCACATGGATGTGCCCATTCGACCCCATTAAGAGATCCAGCCTCAAGCACTAAGTATTATTCTGGAGGCAGCACTTAATACACATTCAGAAAATATGTTCAAAACCACTTTTAGGGACTCTTCATATGTAGGGAGGCTGATTGCCAGCACTGAAAAGAGGCACTCAGCACCAGCACTAATTTGGTTTCAATACTAGATAATTCAGCAACAAATGCTGCTGTTTGCATACAAGAGGCAAAAACTTTGTTAGAGAATCATGTCCTTATCCCTGCTATGAAGATTCTTAAGTGAAATAAATGATGAAAAGCTGTGGGAATGAGTGTTCTAAGTGGAAATATTTGAGCGGTGCCAAATATCCCTTGAGGTCAGTCTGGCAAGACTTATCCCCTGGAGCGTGAGGGAAGACAATTCAAGGTTGTGGTTTTAAAAGACACGGACATGACAGCAAAGGAAGGTTTGGGTGCTTCCCCCAAAATACCACACAGTCCCATTTGTCCCCTCTCCACTTTTGATCTCCTATATTAAGGTTTCATACAACGAGTTCCACTAGTAATATTCCTTGCCACTCCTTTCCTGTTGAACTTTTTTCTTCCTGGCATTTCCTCCCTTCTCCAAGCAGGTTTGATTTAAGGTATTACAGAGGGGACGGGACCGGCCGCCGACCCCATACAACCTTTCCCCCTTCAGCTTAAGAGTCATTTCGGCGTCTAGCTTGGCGCCTCTCCTACGCCGGGGTCACCAGCCTGGTTTCCTTCTGCCACAGGCAAGCCCCCCCAACCCCCCAGAAGTGCCCCTTCAGGCCAGAGGGAATCAGGTCTGCAGGAAAGCGAAGTCCGAGCGCCAAGCAACGCGTCCCCTCCGCCCACCCAGGCGAGAAGGCGCCCGAGGCGAGGTGGACGGGAGTTGGCGCCAAAACACCCCGCCCCCCCCCCGCGCGCGCCTCTCTTACCTGCAGCGCAGGTGGGTTCGGTTCCCGAGGGGAGGCGGCGGCAGCGGCGGCGTCGAGGCGAAGCGCGGCCCGG